TGTCCCTGAGCTAACATCCGAGCCAGTCTTTCTCTATTTTTGTATATGGGATGCCACCACAGCATGGCTTGATGAGTGGTGCGTCGGTCCATGCCCAGAATTTGAAGACGCGAACCCTGGGCCGCCAAAGCGGAGCACGTGAACCCAACCACTGCGCCACTGGGCCGGTTGCCCTAGAGGACCTACTTTTAAAGCAAAACTGCGTATCTCTCTTTTCTTTTCTTTTTTTTTGTGAGGAAAACTGGCTCTAAGCTAACATCCATTGCGAATCCTCCTCTTTTTGCTGAGGAAGAACAGTCCTGAGCTAACATCCATCTTTCTCTATTTTGTATGTGGGACGCCGCCACAGCATGGCTTGATGAGCAGTGCGTAGGTCCACGCCCGGGATCTGAACCTGCGAACCTGGGCCGCCAAAACGGAGTGTGCGCACTTAACCACTATGCCACTGGGCCAGCGCTCTCTCTTTTCTTTGTTATCTTTAATTTGGCCATTTGCCATGTCCACTGTTTGAGTGGGTGTGGAGGGGATTGGGGGTGGAAGAGTAGGCCACTGTGAGATGTGCTTCCCATTCACATTTGTTCTCTATCCCTTCGTTCCTTCCAAAACTTGGATTAAGTCTGCTGTCTGCAGGGGACTGTACCAGGCCTACTGGAAAGATGCACGAGTCGAGGTGGGCACCTAGAGGTGCCCTCTCTAGGAGAGACGTAAGCTACTGGTTATCTAGTTTATGACGTGATAAGTGCTGTGAATGTGCAGAGAGGGGAGGATCTTGTCTGAGGAAGGGACAGCGAGGGCATCCCTGGATCTGAAGGGAATTAACTGTTCAGGTGGAGAGGCCAGAGGAATAGGGTCAGAGGCAAAGGAGAGTGCATGCTTGAAGGGGAAGGACTGAATCTGTGTGCCTGGAGCAGTTAGCATTTTGACTGTGATGCTAAGATCAGTGGAAAGACATTGAGATTTTAAAAAATTTACTGTGAAGTATTTCATACATATAAAATAGGTGTGAGATGTAAAATGTGTAATGAACACTTGCATATTCATCGTCTAGCCTAAGAAATAAAACGTTACCCATACCATTGGAGCCCTGGGTACTGACTCTGTCCTTCCTCTACCTCCTTTTTCCTGACTCTATTCATCTCCCTGCTTTTTTCTTTCCTCCCTTCTTCCCCCTGGAGTAACCACTATCCTGAATTTTCTATTTATATTTTCTTTGCATTTCCTTTTAGTTTTACTACATGTGTGTGCATCCCTAAGTCACGCATAGTTTTGCATGATTTTGACCTTTGGGTGATAAGCTGCAGCGTGGGTAAATCTCAATGTTGAGTGAAGATGGTAAGTTGCAGGAGCTACGTAGTACGAAACCATTGAAGGGCTTTCTACAGGGGAGTGACATTTATTTCTGTTGTTATTTATAAAGGTTATTTCTTATGCAGTGTGGATATTGGATTGGAGGGAGCAAGAACTGAAAGGGAGGGCAGTTAGAAGGATGCTGTGAGTCTAGGTAGTAGCTTATGGTTGTAGCCTCTTAAGAGAAATTATTCACAAACTCATAACCATGGCCCTTTGCTATCTTATCCCTCCCTGACTGTTTGACCTTGCTGTTCTTCGAATGTGAACGTGACAAGTGTGCTTCCTGCATTGAGGTCTTCCCTCTTCTTCCACTGGAAAGTTTTCCTCTTGAATGTGCGTTATCTCTTTCACTGCACTCAGGTCCCTGCCCAGAGGTCTCCCCTGCCCACCACCGAGAGGTGACCCCACCCTTGTCACTGTTCTCGTCTCCTTACTTTGCTTTATTTTGCTTTGTAGTTTTTTTTCTAGTCGTACCCTGAAATCATATATGTATTTATTTACAGCCTGTCTTCCCTGCCAACATACAAGATCAACAGGGGCTGGGATCTTATCTGTCTTGTCTAACATTGTGCCCCCTCCCTGTGCCTTGTGCATAGCAGGTGCTTAACAAATATTTGTTGAATAGGGTAGTGAGTTGACTTGAGATTGGAATAATGGAATCCAGTTGTCCCTTTTTGGCTGTCTCCCAAACATCCCTCTGGCTGTGAACTTTTTTCAGAGCTTGAGGTTAATACCAGCCCCTGTTCCTGCTAGACGTTTCCGCTTGACTGTCTTGCTGTCACCTCAAACTCAGTATGTCTAAAATTACACATTATCTTCCTTCCTCCAGTCTTCCAGTTTTGTTAGTGCCTCCCTCGTGACAGTCCCCAGGCACAAAACCTTGGAGTTCTCGTGCGGTGTCGCTAGTCCTAATCCCGAGGGTGCTTTCTGTCCCCGTTGTTGCCTTTGGGGGTGTTTCTGGTCCCTGTTTTCATCTCTGCTTTCTGCTGTTGGCACTGTAGCCAGCCTCAAGGCCCTGCTAGGATCCTTCTCTTCTGGGCATCAAGCGGAAGTTCCCACCTCAGCACCCCTTTTGTACTTAGGTCTATAGTGCTTGTTTTTTAAACACCATATCCTGATTTGTACTGTTGCTTTCCCGTGTCCTAATATTTTAAACACAGTAAAACAAATAAAGCATTTACTGATTTGTCCTGGAGCTCTAACCTTGCCACTTTGTTGTGACAGAGAAGACAGCTGCCAGCAGCACTGCCAGCAGCAGTAGTAGCTTTCTTGCCTCCTGTCTCTGGCTCTCACTGCTGCTGGGTTCTCTCTGACCCTGTGGGGGCTCTTGCAGTTTTAAAAGATAAGTAAGGTTTCAGCTCCGGTGTCATGCTGGAAATGTATAGATGCAGTAGAGTCTGAGCTGATGATGTTAGTTTTTAGGTGTATTTGTTCAGTTATCCCCTCTGAAAGGAAAACAGCAGCTCTTTATAACTACTTAGAGATACAGGTTGTGAAGGTAAATTTGGTTGGTTAAATTATTTTAACTCATGTTTATTGAGTGCCTATTACATTGCAATGGGCATAGACAAGGTGGTTTTGCCTCTGACAGGTCTTCCAAAATCTAACAGGTATGGGAGTTATTTAACACTAACTTTAGTCTTTAAATATGGTAAATGCTGAATTAGAAGTGGGTACAGGATGCTGTTGGAGTGCACAGAAGGAAGCGTCTGGCTCACTGAGGGGTTTGTCAGGGAGGCTTGTTGCATAAAGGATGTGACGGAGTTGAGTCCTGACAGATGAGTGGGGGTCCAGCAGGTGGACAGGGGCTCTCAGTTCTTGGATGTGGATAATTGATGAAAACAGAACGGAATCAGTCTAGGCCCAAACGGAGCTCCATTGAAGGATGATACTAACAAGGGCAGGGTTTTATTTCCTTAATATCGCAGCCCATGGTTACCAGCGACAAGTTCCAGTTCAGCAGTGCCCTCAGGCAGCATGCTGTATAGACAGCCTCGCATAGTGACTATGGGTGGACTCTGCAGTCAGGCTACCTAGCTTCAGATTTCCTTTCTGCAACTTACTAGCCTTGGAAATTTGAACCAGTTACTAACCTGTTTGGGCCTTGGCACAGTATCTATTCATAGAATTGAAGATTAAATGAGATAAAACATGTCAAGCGCTTATGACAACATCTGGCACACAATAGGTGCTCAATAAAGATTTGCTGTTGTGGTTATTTTTGATTGTTCACATCAGCCCAGAGGTTGGCAAACTGCTGTTCGTGGGCCAGGGCCAAACCCTCCCTGCTGTATGATTTGTATGTAAAATTTTATGGGAACACGGCCATGCCTGTTCATGAAGTGTCATCTGTGGCTACTTGTGTGCTCTGCAAGGCTGACTTTAGTAGTTGTGACAGAGACCACATGGCCCATAAAGCCCAAAATATTTAATAGGGCCCTTTACAGAAGAAATTTGCTGAGCCCTGGCCTAGAGGATAAAATCAGACTCTTGAGCTCTCAGGGTCTTCAGGGATCGCTTCCGCGCCTGTCTTTTGCCACCCGTAGCTCACAGACGGCCACGGCAGCTCTTTAGTTTTTGCTGCCCCTTCTCTGTCCTCTGTGAGCTGCTCTCCGTTGCTGGATTGTGGTTTCCTTAGTGTTTCAGCTGCTCTGTTCTCTTTTGCATGAATATGGGCAGCAGCAGGGCCATGCCCCGGGTGAGGTTGGTGAACCACTCACCTCAGGTACACTATTTAAGGGGGTCCCCCCAAAATCTATGATGAACAAAATATCGAAGTTTTAAGTAAAGACAGAATCAGTATTACTGATTTTTTTTTTATACTCAGGCTCCAGCATGGCTAGACATAACACTAGGCAGCAGAGAACAGGTAACCCACAACAAATCCCAGGCACTCATACTTCCTACGTAAATATGGTAGAGTTTTTAGGTTCAAAATAACCTGCTGGCTGATCACATTTACTAACATGTACTCAGATCCACGTCAGGACTACTTTCATAAAGTGTAATTATACATGTATTTTTTGAACTGAGCTTATAGTAGTGATCTGTATATAAGCTGTTATATAAAGTGACAGAATGAAAAATATTTCCATAAGTTTTCGAATGATTCATTTGAAATGGTTCACTGAGAGCCATGGAGCATAAATCAGAATAGCAGCATTGGATAACTCAAGCTGTTTACCAAGAGATCTGAAAGGATCCCCTGGTCCTATAAGCTTTTTCTAAGAAAGGCCATATAGGGATATTAATTGAATTTTAATGCTTTCTGATAAACATTGACCCGGCAAGCTTTTTTAGATGACTAACTTTCTAATCTGCTTTGACATTTCTTCAGGGTGCTGCAAACAGTGGTTATGTTGGTAGGTTTAAAAATATATATAATTTGTTTTAGTGAAGAAGGCTTGGAAATATTCTGTAGAATTCTATTCAAGTAGAATGGAGTCTTGTCTGTAAGCAGTAAGTGTGGAGGAATGGACAAGATGACCTTTCCATTTCTCAGACACTGTGTTGAGATTTGTAGGGTTTTGTTTGATGTTTCAACGGAGTGAATTAGTTGTTCTAACTGGCTATCACTTATAAAGATATTAAATGTAATATTGAACTTGGTGCTCTTTTGATTTCTAAATGACACTTTAAAATGTTTTTAGGTGTATAGTGTTGATTGGAGCCAAACCAGAGGTGAACAGCTTATGGTGTCTGGCTCATGGGATCACACTGTCAAACTGGTATGTCAGCATTACTGTTTTCAAAACCATATATTCCCTTCTCCAAAGCTTCCACTGAATTTTTTTTTCTTATCTAGAGTATACTTCTATAGCTTTTCAATGACAGCTAATTTTCTTTTAAAAAAAATATATTAAAGTGTTTATTAGAATTTAAAATTTTCTAATATTTTGGCTGTAAACTAATAATTAGCTCAGCATTGATTATTTTGGCCCCTTAAATACCATCTTGCTTTATATAAAAATAGACTTAAAAAAATCCTTGAGATATGTATGTATATTGTGTGTATGTATATATAAATACACATATATAGTATTTTATACATAAAAAGCATAATTTTGAATTTACTTCTGTTAAGTATTGATCTGTTAATTTATTTGTAGTGGGATCCGACTGTTGGGAAGTCTCTGTGCACCTTTAGAGGCCACGAAAGTGTCATTTATAGCACAATCTGGTCTCCCCACATCCCTGGTTGCTTTGCTTCAGCCTCAGGTAGGTAAGTGGGTTTTTACCAGAAGCCTTGCTTGTGGTGAACGTGGCCTTGCTTTCCCCAGCAGGTGGCGCTGGTCACCTTAGTTTCAGAGGAAACAAGGAGAACATGGCTGTCGTGGTGCTCTTTAGGCTGTTTCTTTACCAACCTCTGGATCGCTTTTCAATGATTCTAATCACTTGACTGAACATGTCCCTTTTGGTGAGGTGAGAGGTAGGGGACAAAGAGCAGGTGAGGGCTTGGCGTCAGACTGGCTTGAACGTGGGAGCCGTCTCTGCAGCTGGCTGGTTGTGGGGCCTCAGGTGACGGGTGAGTTTCCTCGTCAGTAACTGGGGTTGCTGTGGAGATGAAGTAAGGACACCCATGTAAAGTGACCAGCAGGAAGTCCACCTCCCTTCCTCGAGGTTCACCCTACCTTTAGGATCTCTTTGAGTCATTGCTGCTGAGCCATCACAAGGATGTTTTTGGCATGATCTTTTTTCTGACTGTTTGCTTTTGATTAATGCTAACAATTCTGAGGTAAAGTAGATACTTACATTTACATGTCTCTATTTTTTTGTAGAGAAAAGTCATTTTATAGAAATTTAAAAATTACACCTTGTACTGTTTGCATAAAGATTTATAAGTTTAGTTCGCTGACCAATTCATAAATCATATAAAACCTGAACAGTCTAATGCATGCGAGAGTTGTAGAAAAGCCTTGTTCAGCTTCTGTGCAGTGCCGCTGAAAGCAGCAGAGTCCCCTTGCCGCATGGGCCCTTAAGTAGCCATCCCCTCTTCACTGGCTCCAGCTGCTCTGGCCGTTTGCCTGCTTCTCACACCCCTGCAGCTCTGCCCTCACAGCTCTTGTGCTTTCAGCCTCTCACCTTTTCTCCCACTGTCTAGCCTGTTTCTCTTCTGTTGTCCGGATTTTACGTGATCTGCAGGTCAGTGGCAGGGTCCTCCAGGAGGTGGCGGAGGGAGGAGAACTGAGACAGCAGGAACAGCGCCCCCTCTGCCCACGGCTGGAAGGTGGAATCATCCTCTGCAGTGAGGAGATGGCACTGGAAGGCATTGGAGTTCTAGTTCATGTGGTTGAGAATATGGAATAATGATTCTTCATGTATTATAATACCTGCCACACCATGACTTTTCATAATGTGAATTAGATAGAGCACAGCTATTAATGAACAAGTATGGTTTGTCTTGGGCAGATCATAACTGGTTATAAATCTTTCGGAACAGGACCTAGTCTGGCTCTTTTGACTACCCCCTGAGCTGCTTTGCTTAGATGGCTTTATCCTTGGTTTGTTTATCAGAACAAAGATTGCTAAGTCTGAGTAACAGGTATAAGAATGTGTAACATGTGCTTATTAATCATAAATATTTGTGGTGATTGACAAAGCAAGATCATCACTGGTTATTTTTACTTCTTTTATAACTTTCAAAATATAGATTTATAAAGAGAAAACAAAAATGGTATCCCAGATGATTCCTATTCTGACCACGTACACAGTAAGGAAATTCAAACAACACGGAAACATGCCAAATAAAAAGTAAATCCTCATCCCCTCTCCCACTGGACCACTGTTAACATTTTCTTGTATTCCTCCAAAAAAATTCGTATGCTCATTCCAGAATATGTGGTATAAAAATTAAAAATATTAATAGGGAATATTCTTTTTTTTTTTTTTTTGTAAGGAAGATCATCCCTGAGCTAACATACATGCCAATCCTCCTCTTTTTGCTGAGGAAGACTGGTCCTGGGCTAACATCCATGCCCATCTTCCGTCACTTTATGTGGGACGCCGCCACAGCATGGCCTGACAAGCCGTGCGTCGGTGCGCACACGGGATCCGAACCCCGGGCCGCCAGCAGCGGAGCACGCGCACTTAACCACTATGCCATGGGGCCGGCCCCAAATGGGGAATATTGTTGAGGAATAAGTCAGATATCTTCAAAGGCTGAATTTGCTTAGTTGATGTTAGGTTTTATATACTTATAGCTATAAAATCTTCGTTGTTGTTGAAATTGTAAGGAAAATAATTCTGTAATTTTGAGTCAGGAAATCTCCTGTCCCACATTCATTTTCCCCATTGAAAACGTTGTTATTATGAAACAGTCTTTGGTCGTGGAGATTTCTCTTGGTAGCCTTGGTCCAGTATTATAGCTGAATTGAGTGAAGCACACCACTGTTCAGAAAGAGTTCTTATAGTTTTAAACAAACTCAGTGGAAAAGAACGTCTGCCAATTATATATGATGAATTATCATATACATTTATATATTTAAATTTATGAAATTAAAACATTTAAAATAGAAGAAGAAGTACAACATGCTTCTTTTATTTGATATGCCACCAATAAACACTTGGCTAAAGATAGTTTTCTGAATGTTGTTTCCTTCCTAAAAGCTCTGACACTTTAATATATATTGCTTCATTTTTCTTTGAGATAATTTGTGTAATGTATTGAGTGCCATTAAAACTGTAGAAAATGTAGAAATAAAACAAAGGTGAGCAATTGAATCGGCGCAGGCAAGGTCAAAGTTGCTCCTCCAGGCCGCCTCCCTGAGCCACTGTCACCCAGCCTTGTAGACATGGGTGGGAAGGATAAACTGATGTCTGTTCAGGGTATTCCAAGGGGACGAATTATTAAGTTAGATCATTTGGGGAATGTATATATAAATATAATGTATATGACACTAATTATTTTCAAATGTGTTTATTTTAGAGCAGCAACACCTTATAGATTAAACAAAACAATAGCAACAGCCTTCCCAGTGCAGATGATGTCAGTTAATTCTAATAGAGAGAATTCTGATAAAGGTAACAGTTATTTTGTTTGGACCTTGAGATGGTAAATAGATGCAGCTCTTTTAAATGTTTTGCCAATTTGATGAATGAAAGGTGATATCTAACTGTTGTTTTGATTTGCATATTTAATTACTAGGGATAGTGAATACTTTTTATATGTCAACTGGCCATCACAGTTGTTCTTTTGTGAATCGCATGTTCATGTCTTTGGCCCATTTTTCTACTGAGAAAAATGTTGTTGTTTTTCTGTGTTGATGTATGAGCTCTTTTTATATTTAGGAATTAGTCCTCTGTATCTTACATATGTTACTAATATTTTCCTAATTTTTTGTCTGTCTTATAACCTATTTATTTTATTTTATTTTTTACTGTATAAGCATTTAAATTTTTTGGTAGTCAAAACTATCAATTTTTTGCTTGATAGATTTCTGGCTTTCATTTAGGATGAATAAGGACTTGGCTCAGTGAAAATTGGGAGGCCTTGGATGGCAAAGAAAGAGAGAACATTCCAGGCAGAGAGAATACGATGTTCAAAAGTAAGACTTGATGCATTTGAGAAACTGAAAGAAGACTGTTGCTTAAGAGGAAAGGGTAGTAACAGTGAGGTCAGGGTAGCAGGCAGCCGCCCAGATCACACTTTGTGGGCTGGATTCATGATTTTGGATTTTATCCTATGGACAGTGGGAAGGCATTGAAGAGATTTAAGCAAGGGAGCGATATGATTAGGCTTACATTTTTAAAAACTCACTCTGGCTGTCATGTAGAGAATACTTTGGAGGTGAGCAGAAGTGGGTACAGGGAGACCAAGAAAGAGAGACACAAAGGCATGGATAAGGATGGTGGCAGAAGGGATGGAAGAAAGTAGGCTGATTTGAGTGGTATTTAGAGATGATAAGATGTGGAAGAGGTGAGAGGGAGGGATGAGTAAAGAATAACTCCTAGATTCCTGGCAAGGACAAATTCATGGATGGTAAAGTCATAACTGAGAAAAAGTGTGTTTGAAAGAGAAGATATTGAGTTTTGTTTTGGAGCACTTTCAGCCTGTGGACACACATGTTAGCTTGTCAATGAGCAGGTTGAGTTTGGAGCTGAGAATTCTGGCCTAATGGATAAAAATTGTGTCATAAATGGTAACTAAAGCCATGGCAGTGAAGCAGAGCACCCAGGAAAGACTAAATAGAAGAAACCTTAGACTAGAGCACAGATTGGCAAACTACTGCCCTCAGATCAAAATGACCCACTGATAGTTTTTGTAAATAAAGTTGTCTTGGAACACAGCCACCCCCACTCATTTACATATTGTCTCTCTACGGCTGCTTTCACACTTAGTAGCAGAGTTGAGCAGTTGTGACTAAGACAGAATCACTCTCGAAGCCAAAAATGCTTATTCTTAGGCCTTTTACAGGAAATGTTTGCTGACCCCTGGTGTAGAGTCTTGAGGGGAGATGAAGAAATGGAAGCTCTTTTGTGCAGTTTGGGTGTCGCGGGGAGGAAAGAAGACAATAGCTAGGGGAGGAGGTAGGGTGCTTCTAGTATTATCTCCTCGTTTAATCACCCAGCATCCAAAGATAGGCAGTTGGTAGGGCAATGGTTCCTTTCTTGCTAATAAACTACACTGGTGCCTGGAGCTGTTGAATTATGTTGAGTGGCTTCCATAGGAAATACAGTCACAGAAATCCTTTCCATTTGTTTATTATTTTTTTAATTCTAAAAATTAAAAATGATCAAATGTTCCTGAATTCTGAAGTATTATTAGATTGAAGACACTCAGAAGTGGAAACCTTCAGATAAATTGTGTACAGGCAGATGTGTCCATTTAGATGAAGCAACTTTTTAGATCCTAAGATAATAGTGAATAATAGTAACTTATGTGTATAGAGGTTCAGTTAATTCAAAAAATGTTTTATTCACTGATTAAAATTAACAGCATTGTTTTCTAGAATGAAGAATGGTACATTTATAAAATTATTACTATTATTTTTAAAATTTGTAAGTTGTCTAAGTCATAGTTTTTTGGTCCATAATCTGAATCAAATCTTTTCCAAAATATCAAGTCTTTTGGTATGGACCAGTAATATATTTTTGCTGTCACCTTTCCTTTTCCAAGCCTAAATTTCTTCTTTGATTTTTTTATCTTTCTGTGGCACAGCTAACCTAAGGCTGGGTGTGTATTAAGTAAATGATAGCGATATTCATACACTTGTTTGTAT